AGGTTCTTCACCAGCGACGGCAGGATGTCGAAGATCGTCTTGGAGCAGTGCTTCAGCTGGGTGGCCTGCCAGATTAGCTTGATGTCCTCTTCGGAGATCTGGTTCTCCACGGCCAAAAAGTTGAGCAGCACGTGCGCCTGCTTAACGATCTCCACGTGCAGATTCGGACCAAACAGGTGCTGCACAATGTGGTTCTCAGTCAACCAGTTCGCGATGCGCTGTCCAAACAACTCCACTTCGTTGACCGTCTCGGTGGTGCAGATCTCATTGAATAGGTTGATGTGTGCGTTGATCTGGGCCATGCCTGGAAATATTTCAGATTGTTAAGTGGCAATAACAAATGTATCGAGATAATAGATACTAATTTCTTGATTTTGCTTTTGTTAAATATTTAATCATGATATTATGTATCATTGACACTTCTTGGAACTATTCATTTGTTGAAACCAACTCATATCGTGTAGCAGTCAGTTGTAATAAACTCTTTTTATGAATTAATTACTGATAACATGTAAAATAACATAATATAATAATAAATGACACGATCTTTCCATCTCTTGCAATAGGAGTAGAATCATATTCCGTAAACAGAAGACCTACCTGCCAGTCGCATGGTCAGCGTGGTCGATGTGAAGTACTTAAAGGCCAGGGCCAATCCTTCGGTGTCGAAATTGACGGCCACGTCCAGCGGGTCCCGCATGGAGGACCATACAAAGTCGGCCATGGCGCGGGTGGCGGCGGATCGAAGGCTCTGGTCCGACAGCTTGCACATGTACTGCAAATGCGGCTGCGCAGCGGCACAAAGAGCTGCGTATTGCAGTGATAGTTAGCCAGAGTTTCACATTCGAGACAGCGGCGGTCATCGAGTGGGCAGTGACACCGGCAGATCGGGGTGCTCGAAGCACAGCGACATGGCGCCAAAGCCACCCGAGTTGCAGAAAAGGCTCACGTTCCGCAGCAGGAAGATGGGCAGGTCGTTGTCGTGCAGATCGCAGATAAGGGCCAGATGGTGGGCCTCCTCGGCCTGCAGGTCGTCCAGTCGCGAGTGCATGCCATGCTTGTGGGCGATGTACAGCGGGAAGTTAGCAGGAACACCTTGGACACGAGCACGAGCAGCTTCTCCACCTCGGGCAGGATCCAGGGCTCCTCGGTGTACTGCAGGTGGGATTTGTGCTGCGTCGAGGGTGCCGGCGGAGGAGGGGGAGTGCAGGGGCCAACCGGCGGTTTCTTGGGTGGCCCATCGCCTGAGCCCTGGGCTTCCTCGCTCGAAGAGCCGGATGGCTCCTCCTTCTTGGGTTCTTCCGACGGAGTGGAAGCATCCTTCCCCTCCGCCTGGGCCACAGCCTCGTCCCGCTGCTGCTCTCGCTGCTGTTGGGCCTGGGCCACCACCTGGGCGGCGCTGGCCGTGAGTCTCTTGTAGTTGTCGATAAGGTGGTCGATGTGCTTCAGGTGCTGCACCGTCAGACAGATGAGCGACTGCACCACTAGTTGAAGCGGTCGTAGTTCTTGGTGTCCCGGTACAGGCACATGCACTGGCGCTGCGGCCAGGACTGGATGTAGTTGAAGGTGGTCTCGATCTCGCTCTTCAGCAGCAGCTGGAACTTGAGATCCGAGCTGGCCACGCGCACCTCGTCTGGAAGAGGGGAATCGGGATACCATGGGTGAGCGGGGGAAGGGGTTGCGGTCTTCGCTTTTTTGCGGGGCACTTTTCACTTACACAGCTCCAGGAGATTCTGGAAGTCGGCGCACACCTCGCACATGGTGCTCCACTGGCTGCGGACCGAATTGGGGGCTTCCAGGGGTTAGGGCCGCCTTTGCGGCGGCGACGACTCCTGGCGTCTAGGGAGAGGAGTACAGTCTGGGATTCGCTGTCGCTGGCGGAGTCTCGGTCTCGGTTGCGGGCACTTGCTCTTCTCGCTTTTCGTTGGTCGCTCGGCTCGCTCCCGGCGGTCGTGCAATGCCATTTAGGATGGCGCCCTCGCCTCTCAACACGGAACACTGTTTTTCGGCAACAAAAAAATGATAATTCTACACTCGGACATATATATATGGTGGGGATATATATGTATATATATACAATCACAATCGAAGCAAGGCGCCTATCGTTCTTCGATATCGATGTCAGGAGGCGTTTTTATCGTTTGGCAACAATCACCAGGTGTGCCGGTAATCGAGTTGGCAACTCCACACCGGTCTAGGAGAAAAAGTTGGCAGCTCCACACCGGTCTAGAAATCCAGTTGGCATCCCTTTTTACCTACTTTACACTGAAATAAAACAGAAGGAAAACTAGTTGAATATTAATAACTGCACACTATCTATTACCCTGTAGAGCTGCAAAAACATGATATAGCCCCATCGATAGTCTTGATAGTTTGCGGTCTAAACCTCGATTTTATCGCGATAGTATCGCTCATATATAAGCATTAGGTGTATTCATGTAAAACCAATATAATAGGTGTATTTTTTAAAATAAATTATTATTTTCAATTATTGACAATTAAAAACGCAATAAGTTTAAATTCAAGTGAGATCTTTTTAATACATTTTAAAGAAATCAAATAACATTTCTTTGGTTAAAAACAAATTTGGCTGTCTTTCCATCTTTGGTCCTCTCCAAAAGATCCCACACTGAACTTCCAAGCCGGTTGACCTTTTTAACGACTTTTCTCCTTGCACGTTGCACACGATTTCCGCATCCTGCTCCACACCCTGCTTCACATTCTGCTCCTAACCTTGTCTCCACCAATAGTTTCATGAAGAATATATGTGATTTAAGTCTTTATATTTAATTACGTTTCGTTATTCAAATGCATTTTAATTATGTTTAGTTATTTAAATGCATTTTAATTACGTTTCATTATTTAAATGCATTTTAATTACGTTTCGTTATTCAAATGCATTTTAATTATGTTTCGTTATTTAAATGCATTTTAATTACGTTTCATTACTAAAGTGCAGTTTAATTATGTTTCGTTATTCAAATGCATTTTAATTACGTTTCGTTATTTAAATGCATTTTAATACGTTTCATTATTAAAGTGCAGTTTAATTATGTTTCGTTATTCAAATGCATTTTAATTTCGTTTCGTTATTTAAATGCATTTTAATTACGTTTCGTTATTCAAATGCATTTTAATTATGTTTCGTTATTTAAATGCATTTTAATTACGTTTCGTTATTCAAATGCATTTTAATTACGTTTCATTATTAAAGTACAGTTTAATTACGTTTCGTTATTCAAATGCATTTTAATTACGTTTCGTTATTTAAATGCATTTTAATTACGTTTCATTATTAAAGTGCAGTTTAATTATGTTTCGTTATTTAAATGCATTTTAATTTCGTTTCGTTATTTAAATGCATTTTAATTACGTTTCGTTATTCAAATGCATTTTAATTACGTTTCGTTATTCAAATGCATTTTAATTACGTTTCGTTATTTAAATGCATTTTAATTACGTTTCATTATTAAAGTGCAGTTTAATTATGTTTCGTTATTTAAATGCATTTTAATTTCGTTTCGTTATTTAAATGCATTTTAATTACGTTTCGTTATTCAAATGCATTTTAATTATGTTTCGTTATTTAAATGCATTTTAATTACGTTTCGTTATTCAAATGCATTTTAATTACGTTTCATTATTAAAGTACAGTTTAATTACGTTTCGTTATTTAAATGCATTTTAATTACGTTTCATTATTAAAGTGCAGTTTAATTATGTTTCGTTATTTAAATGCATTTTAATTTCGTTTCGTTATTTAAATGCATTTTAATTACGTTTCGTTATTCAAATGCATTTTAATTATGTTTCGTTATTAAATGCATTTTAATTACGTTTCATTATTTAAATGCATTTTAATTACGTTTCTTATTCAAATGCATTTTAATTACGTTTCGTTATTAAATGCATTTAATTATGTTCGTTATTTAAATGCATTTTAATTAGTTTCATAATGCAAATGCAATTTAATACGTTTCGTTATTAAAATGCATTTTAATTATGATTCGTTATTTAAATGCATTTAATTACGTTTCATAATGCAAATGCAATTTAATTACGTTTCGTTATTCAAATGCAATTTAATTACGTTTTGTTATTCAATGCATTTTAATAACGTTTCGTTATTCAAATGCAATTTATATACGTTTCATTATTCAAATGCATTTTAATTACGTTTCGTTATTAATTCGTTTCGTTATTCAATTTAATTACGTTTCGTTATTAAAATGCAATTTAATTACGATTCATTATTAACGTTTAATTACGTTTCGTAATTCGTTATGCATTTTAATTACGTTTCGTTATTAAATACGTTTCATTTGTATAATTAGAATTCAATTTAAATACGTTTTATTATTAAAATGCAATTACGTTTCGTTATTAATTGCAATTTAAGTACGTTTTATTATTAAAATGCAATTAAAATACGTTACAGTTCACATTGACTGAGATAGGGGACTTGGCAAAGCTGTGAAGTGGAAATAAAGGAGTTTCTAATTTAATATAAAGATTCTTAATATCCAAATTTAAATATGCAAAATAAAGTTTCCCTAACTTTTATTTCAACACAATGTATTTTGGAGTTGGTTCATTGCGTGAAACATTTAAATCAGAGTGAGAATATTTCGATACTATCGATGGTTCCATCGATTTTTTTGCAGCTCTATTACCCTGTTCAGACAGACAACGACTTTAGCTAATTCTTTTTATAAGAGCTACGAATGATTGAAAGAGACAGAAGTTCTACCAATGTTTTTACATTTTTTCAGTCAGTTAAAAAGTTCCTATTCAATTTTTGCTGAATTTCACATGCTAGCGTTGAAATTGCTTTGTAATCCAAAACTAAATTTGTATGCCGTCATCAGTTTTTGCCTCAGCGATTCTCTGTGTGAACAAGAATCCGCTTAAAATTGCAACGCAACAGCGATTTAAAGCGGTTGTGCGAAAAGAAAATACCATTTCTACTCTTTAAAATATACCAAAAATCAACCTAACGCCATATTTTCACTCTACTTCTTCCGTACTCATTTTTGTCCGACAATTTGTTTACATGCTGTTTTCTGACTGAAAAAGTGTATCACTGCCATGGAGGACATCCAAATGGAGACCAGCTCGCCCACGGAGTCCAGCTCCGAGGTGAACTTCAATGCGGACGAGGAGAAATCCCAGGAATCGCGAGCCGCTGCCGGCGTTTGCTACTGGTAAGGTCTTCGGACGGGCTTTGTTTGGCCAGACCCCATTGATAAGATTGTTTTTAGCGGGAAGGAGCGCAACCTGAACATTGTGGAGCTGCTGTGTGTCACCTGTGCGCGCTGGGTGCACGAGACCTGCGTTTCCTACCAACTGGGCAAGGGCAAACTACTGCCATTCATCACCAACTATGTTTTCGTCTGCAAGAACTGCTCCGCCAGCGGACTGGAGAGCTTCCGCAAGAGTCAGGCTAGTAAGTGGCGGGATCTGCTAATCTAACTCTCCTGCTAATGATATTGCTTAGCCATATCCCAGATGTGTCACTGCGCCATTGCCAACATGCAGCAGGCGGCTGCCCGGGAAGGACGTCGCCAGATCCAGTTCAGCAAGGACAAGGAGATCATCCCGTACATCGAACAGTACTGGGAGGCCATGACTACCATGCCGCGCCGGCTCACCCAATCGTGGTACAGCACCGTCCAGCGTTCTCTGGTCAAGGATGTGCACACCCTGTTCACTTACGAGGAGCACTCGGAGCACGGCTCCATGTACGGACTCTTCCACCAGGATCTGCGGATCATTAAGCCCAACTACGAGAGCATGAGCAAAAGCGGCGCCCTGCGACTCACCGACGATGGATATACTCAAGGTGAGTTGCGCTGGGGCTCGACAATCGGTAGTAATAGCTTTAAAGGGTTATAGGTTCTAGTAGGTAATTGGTTTATTTCAAACTGAGCAATTAGTCCATTTAAGTGAGTTAAGTTTGATTTAAATTTGTACAATACACAAGATCAGACATCCTTGAACCTTGAAAGTTGGACTGGGGAAATCAGCGCTATTATCTTGACCGCTATTAAATCGGTTAAAAAAGCTAAAGGAATTAACTTTTGGCGGCCAAATTGGCAACTCTGGTCGGTCAGCTGATTTTGGCACAGTGGTTCGTTTGCTTCCTATTCGCTCCCCCATTTATCGCGGCGTCCGCTTCGCACACTCCGCAAACAAAACAAGAACACTCCGTCGCTCCCTTTTGCACGCTCATTCGCCAGTGTTTGGCAAAGCTAGGTAACAACAACTGGAAAGGAAATCGCAAAGTGGATCGCAGTTTCTGATTTGCACACACACACACACACACATGCAGAGCCACAGAAAGAGCGTGCGGAGAGAGCGGGAGAGCGCAGCTGGCAGCCCCACGTAGTCAAATTGTGGGCGGGGCGGAGTGGGGTGGGGCTGGCAGAAGCGCTCAACTTGGCTCATTCATTACAAACAAATAGTTACGCTTGGAGCACACTTGCGAGTGTGTGCGTGTGTTTGCGGTGCTCTTTCAGGGGAATTGATTTTGATTTGATTTTGAGCACTACGCAATTGGAAGTCCCTGCTCCTCCAGTTCCACTGTGACCTACTCCTGCTTCTTCCTGCCATGGCGTCATCTTTTCCGGACGAGGAGTGTAAGCCCGGGAACACCACGCCACCACCTCGAACTTTGCCCAGTCACCTACTTAGTCCAAGCAGGCGATTTTACATGGACATACCTATGTATATTATAGATTTGTGCTTGCTTGTAGGCCCTTCTTTATCAAAGACCCCCTTTCCGGAAGAACTAAAAGTGACCTTTAAACGTTTCCTAACAGAGAAACAGGCGCTGATTAAGGGCAATATGGGAATTCTTTGTCATATGGAAATATTCCAGTTACGCCTTTAAAGATACTTATAAATAATAGTCTTATAATGTTCAATTAGCCTTGTAAATTCCAAACTATCATCAAAATAGAAACCTTGAAGTACATTCAGTTAGTAATTATAAGTTGCTTTTTTTAGAAACAATAATTTTGTTTCCTTGAATTATTACTAACGTCCCGCCCTCTTTTTTACCAGCTGCCCTGTCCAAAAACAATCGACAGAAAAGAAATTCCCCGGCACGGATTCAGGACCCACGGGCAAGAAGGGTCGACCCAGTTCCGATATCACGGCCAATGTGAAGCTGCCGCCACATGGCTATCCCCTGGAGCACCCCTTCAACAAAGACGGATATCGCTATATACTTGCCGAACCAGATCCACATGCTCCGTTTCGCCAGGAGTTCGACGAGAGCTCCGACTGGGCTGGCAAACCGATTCCCGGCTGGCTGTACCGCACCCTGGTGCCCCATTCTGTGCTGCTGGCCCTGCACGATCGGGCACCACAGCTAAAGATTAGCGAGGATCGGCTGGCTGTGACGGGAGAAAGGGGCTACTGCATGGTCCGTGCCACGCACTGTAAGTAATCCGCTAAAATATAGTAAAAGAAACCCTGTTAATAAGATCTTCCTTTCCAGCTGTGAACCGAGGATGCTGGTACTACGAGATCACCATAGAGGAGATGCCCGAGGGCGCTGCCACGCGACTGGGTTGGGGCAGGGAGTATGGCAACCTGCAGGCTCCATTGGGTTACGACAAATTTGGTTACTCCTGGAGATCTCGCAAGGGCACAAAGTTCACCGAGAGCCATGGCAAGCACTACAGTGAGGCCTATGTGGAGGGCGACACCCTGGGTTTTTGATAGAACTGCCAGAGGAAACGGCGCTCGACTATCTGCCCAACACATTCAAAGGATCGGGTATGTTTTGATATCTATCATAATAATGATTTACCATTTCTTGTTTATTGCACATTAATTTTGCATATTTAATTTGCAAGGGTATTCTTTGATATCTATCATAATAATGATTTACCATTTCTTGATTATTGCACATTAATTTTGCATATTTAATTTGCAAGGGTATCAAACCTTTCTTTTTCAAACAAGTCTCTGGTTTTCTATTGTAAAAGATAAAGGTGATATTAGCCCATATTATATCTTTGCCCTCCGTCAGCATCTTACTGCATCTTTACAAATCGACCCTTCCTAATTGGCAATCCTGTTGCGCTCTATTCATTATCCAACAGCCCCTGGTGAAGTTCAAGTCGCATCTGTACTACGAGGACAAGGACAAGATCACAGAGACGCTCAAGAATCTGCACATCCTACAGGGTAGTCGCATTGAGTTCTTCAAGAACGGCCAGTCGCAGGGCGTGGCATTCGAGGATATATACGCCGGAAGCTATTTTCCGGCCATTTCGATCCACAAGAGTGCCACGGTGAGCGTGAACTTTGGACCCGCTTTCAAGTATCCCGAGGTTCTAAGCGAACAAAAAGCCAAGGGGGTAAGCTATCGCAATTCGTTCCCAGGAATCTTAGCATTTACTCAACCATCCTTTCCAGATGCACGACCGCGTAGAGGAGCTGATCACGGAGCAGTGCTTGCCGACACCCTCTACCTCACCGAACACGATGGACGCCTGCGACTGGATAACATGGGACTCTAATAGAATATGTCGATATGAAAGAGAACATGGGTCTTGTAAGAATTTTAATTCGTAAAAACAAAATATGAAGTGTTATTTTTCTATGCAATTTTGTTTTGGTCAAAGAATGAATATATAAGATTTTACCGACTGTTTTAAAATAGGCCTTTCAAATTAAAACGGAAAAATTAAATTTTATATTCTAGAACAGTTTTTCTAAACTCTCACGAAATAATTTAAGACCATAAATCTTTTGAGTTCAGTTTTATTGTTTGAGGTTACTTAAAGGCTTTAAATTTCGAGGCACTGTAGGGTATGTAGAAGGCGCTGCTGGGAGCGAATTCGGATCGCGGATGATGCACTGCCGCCGAGATGGACCGTCCTGTCGATGGGGTGTTGCTGGAAACGCTCGTCGCTCCGAACGGATGCAGCGTGGAACGGTTGGAGGAACTGTTGCTGTGGCCGTGACTGTTGTGCCCGCCGCCGCCGCTAGAGTTGCTCTGGCTTGAAGTGGCCGTGGTGGTGGCCAGCAGGTCCCTGCTGTGCCTGCCCAGGTTCAGCGAGGGCAGCACCACAGCGTTCTTGTTGTTAAGAAGCGGTTGGCGGCCATGGGCATGTGCCAGGCGGACGCTCGATGGCCTGGTGTGGTAACACGGCAGACTTGGCTTGGTTCTGATGCTGCAGCTGCTCTTTCTGCTGCACTTGGGTGAGCTGGACGAAGCTTCGGTTGTTGAGCAATCCCCGGAAGCGTCTGTTGGTGTCCAGCACATTCAGGATGGGCGGCATGCGCAGGCGGCCGAGGATTGGGTGGTGGCCGAGATGGGCAGCTGCGGCTGGTACTGCTGGCTGCGCTGGCGCTTGAGAAGCTTCACCGAGACGGAGGTGACCCGCAGATCCCTGTCCAGTAGATCCACCAACTTCTTTTGGCTGGGACGCAAGTAGGGACGATGATGCGGCTGCTGCGGCTCCTCCGCTTTGGGTGTGAGAAAGCCATCCTCCGCCTCCTCGTCGTCATCCTCGTCGTCCAGGGAGTTCAGGCTGAGATTTGAAATCGAGTCGATGTCCTCCCGTGTCTGGCTATCAAAGCTATGGTGCCGCAACGGACGAGTCCTCCGGCCCAGCAGGCTGGGGAACTTGCGGTGCCAGTCGGCGATTCGTTGCGCAACTCCGGCTCCTGGAGCTCCACCAGGGGATCCTCCCCGCTCATCAGCCGCTCCACCCGCTCCCAGTCCAGCAGGTTCTTCTTGATGGCGTCGTCCGCCCACGGAATGGAGCCCACCGAGCTGCGGTCGATGCTGCTCGAGGAGTAGGGCACATCCTGCAGGAACTCCGAGTCGTCCGGGTCCTGGTCGTTCTTGTCCACTTCCGGCTCGTTGTTGTTGGCGTTGTTCTTGCAGATGGCGGTGTCCCCATTGTCCTCCAGATCCGCTCCGAAGTAGTATCGTCTGTCTGAGGACATCAAAACTGGATCCGGAAAACGAGCTGGACTCGTTCTGCCTTCGCTTTCCCTCCGCTGCTCCTTGGTCCCTGCACTCGCAAATCCCCGTGGGTGTCCTTCCGCTTTAGCTGTGCCTGTGGATGTGGATGTGTGGATTCTCCTTCAAAATCGATGCCGCAAAAGGCGGCGAGCGACAATTGTTGTGTTGTGGCCCATTCCAGTTTGGCTTGTTATTTATTGTCCTTTTGTTGTTTCCACCACCGACCAAAGGCGCAGGCTCCACGGCGTTGCCAGCGTCGACCAGAAATAACGTACGCTGGTTAAAAATGATTCGCATTATGGCGCATGGAGGGTATTCTTTGAGCTGCTTTGGAGATAAATGTATTGTTTTTTAATTTTAATTAAATAAAGCAAACTATATATTAAAATTATTAAGCAAGCCAAAGAGATTATCAACAAGCTGTAATGTGCTTTAGCTACAGTGTAGAATAATTTGTATGGTTATTTGAATAGTTTGGTAAAAATATTACTGCATTACAATATCTACTAAAACTTGTTTTAAGTAGTTTAATTTAGAGTTCACTTACAGTTAAAGAAGACCCTTCAAAGCGAAATTTCTGTTGGTCCAGTTGTGGCCAACATCCCTTCAGTTTGTAAACCTTATTATAAGGCAAACACACACTTTCGCATGAGCAGCAAATACATTTTTCGTTCTTTCTTTTTTCAACAATACATAAGGCACAATTCTTTATTAAAATTCTAGATACAATTCTACACAATTTGTTGTACTTTTACGTTCCCTTTTCCCCATTTTAATATATAAAATGTAGGTAAGGACGGTAAGTCGGCGTTTGACAGGGTAAGGATGACGAGAACCTTCGGGGATGCTAATGCCACCAAAAGGGTTTTATAAATTTCCTGAGGTCTAATTGGGGACGCTTTCGCGATTTTTACCCGAATAAGCAGTTGACGGAAAATGGAAGATGTTAATGGCTCACAATGTGCGAACGCCACCGACTCGAGTACTCTGTGGTAAGTAATCGACAGGACCCAAAATAACTTGTAGAAATGCATGCTACTCGCAAAAAGGAAGCTAAAGTAGAATAAGCCTAGAAAAAGTTGCTCCCAGACCGAGCCTAGCGGCCTATAAGTTCAAAAAATATAGACAAACCGAAGGCAAGCGCACGATCTGAGCCGCGATGCTTGCAGAACAACAAAGATAATAGATTCAATCAAAACCAAGTCGATGGGACCCGTACCGTACAAAACCCAAGCCGAATGGCTTTAAGGGCCCCTTGAAACCACTGGACTTGGGTTTGGAAAAGCTCCGTTCGCGTTTGATTGAATCCATATCTTTATTGTTTTGGAAAAAACGCGGCCTAAATCGAGTGCTTGCCTTCGGTTTGTCTACATTTTTTGAATTTTAAGGCAGCACGGCTCGGTCTGGGGCAACATTTCCTAGGCGTACCACACTTTCGCACCCTTTTTTGTGACGAGCATCCATTTCTAGAACTTCTTCTGGGTACGGCGAATAGATTACTTACCACACGGTACTGGAATGTGGTGGGGTTGGGACATCTCCACCCATCGTCTTGCTCTGATTTCTGGCAACTGCTTATGCGGGTAAGAATCGCAAAAGCGCTCCCAAAAAACCTCATGAAATTTATGAAACTCTTTTGGTGGCATTTACATCCCCGAACGTTCCCATTATCCTCGAGCTCCCAATCCCGAATTACCGTCCTTTACTTTCCAAAATTTTTTTAAGAATCAATTTTTAAAATTAGTAAAAGTACATTAAATGCATGGATCTCATAGAAATTAATCAATTTTTTTTGTAAAGAATTGCTTGTGCCTCGTTTAAAAATGCGGTTTATATATTGTTAAAAACCGAAAAAACAAAATTATATTTGTTACTTATGCGAAAGTGTGTGTTTGCCGTATGAATATGGTTTACAAACTGAAATAATGTTGGCCTCAGCTCGACAAACTGAAATTTCGCTTTGAATAAAGAGTCTGCTGTTACTGCGATTGAATTTTAAATTCCTTTTAAATGATTTTTTTAGATCTAAGTATTTCTCATAATTTAAACTTTTTAAATAGTTGCTAGAGCGATTTTCTGTGTAGATTTGTAGAATAAGATGGTTTTAAAAAGCTCCCATAAAATTCTCACAAGATTCTATTCCTTTTATTTTTAAATTTACGCGGGCTTTTTTCTGAAGTAGATAAATGGTTGAGTCCTAGCAAATTATCGAAAAATCGGTTTGAGTCTTGAATAAAATTATCTAACCGCAGAGATGACGTGCCAAACATCGATTACCAATGCTTTGAAAACATCGATGACAAAAAAAGTTGGTATTAAAAGTATTTTTCCCACGTTTTAAAATCGAACTGGTCACTCTAGACAAAGGAGAATTTTTTTGCCGGGCGTGCTGATGTCCTTTTTCGGGTGAAGCCAACTCATTTGCCAGCCGGCGTTCGCAGGATTCACAAGACAGGATGTGGCACGAGGCGAGAAAGCAGGAGCGCAAGATTCGCGGCCTGATCGTCGACTACCGCAAGCGGGCGGAGCGGCGGCAGTACTTCTACGACAAGATCCAGGCGGATCCCACCCAGTTCCTGCAGCTGCACGGCCGGCGGAGCAAGATATACTTGGACCCCGCGGTGGCAGCCGCTGGCGATGGAGCCGCCATCATGCAAGTGATATTCAGTTGGAGCCTAAAACCCTCTACTCTTGTTTTTGTGCCTGTGGTGAGTTCTTTACTAAGTGCTTCGTCTTCTTTGCAGTGTGCCTTGGCAGGGTCAGCAGGACAACCTAATCGACCGCTTCGATGTGCGTGCCCATCTTGATCATATTCCCCCCGTGACCAAAACAGGCGCCGAGGGCGGTGAGGTGGACTCCGAAATGACCGCCGAGGAACGGCAGCTGAACTACGAGCGCTATCGCATCCTGGCGCAAAACGACTTCCTCAACGTCAGCGAGGACAAGTTCCTGCACCAGCTCTACCTGGAGGAGCAGTTCGGGGCCAATGCCCAGCTGGAGGCGGAGCGGAATCTGGCCAAGAAGAAGCAGAAAACGGGTGGAGCCACCATTGGGTACTCCTACGACGATGCTGGCGATGTAGCCACCATTGGGCCGCAGCCTTTTGGAGCGGCCAGTTCGGCAGCCAGTGGAGGAGCTTCCGTGGCGGCCAAGGGCGAAAAGGCGGAGGGCAGCGACGAATCCGATTCGGACATCGACATGGACGTGTCCATTGACATCGGCAAGTTGGATACCTCGCAAGCCCACGAGCTTAATGCCTGCGGACGAAACTACGGCATGAAGAGCAACGACTTCTTCTCACACCTAACCAAGGATGCGGACGAGGCGGATGCCTTGCGCATTGCTCGCGAAGAGGAGCAGGAGAAGATGCTGCTGAGTGGGCGCAAGTCAAGGCGCGAGCGACGGGCCCAAAAGGAGCGCAGGATTGCCAACAGGCCATTTAGTCCACCAAGTTATGCGGCCAAGGAGGACAAGGATAAAAAGGGCAGTGGAAAGGGAGGCGACAAGGAAAAGGAGGAAGACAGCGACTCGCGTTCGCCTTCGCCTGCCGAGGCGGGACCCGAGAAGATCACGTATATTACCTCATTCGGCGGCGAGGATGAGATGCAGCCGCACTCCAAGATCACCATCAGTCTCACAAAGCCGGGCTTGACTCTGGGTGAGTCGTGCATCAATGCCAGCAGCGGAGCAGCCATTGCAGCCGCCGCAGCAGCCTCCTCGGTTTCCTATGCCCAAAAAGTGAAAGACAACTTGGACAAGTTGAAGGTTATGAATGAATCGGCCAAGCGCAGCAGACGCCGTTCCCGTTCGCACTCCCGCTCACGTTCCAGGAGTGCCTCTGCCTCGAGGAGTCGCAGTGGCAGTCGGCGAAGAAGTCGCCGCAGTCGTAGCTATCACAGAGGAGCAGGACGCGCTCTCGCCGCCGTCGTAGGTACTACTCCAGATCAAGATCCAGGTCCAGATCCAGATCGCGGTCCAGGTCCAGATCAAGGTCTAGGTCCCGAACACGCTCGCGCTCTGGCTCGTGGAAACGGTACAAGACGCGTAGTCCCAGCTACAAGCGGTCTAGGAAGCGCTACTCCTATTCCTCGCGCAGTTCCAGCGGCAGCTCGTACAGGCGACGAAGCCGCTCCCGTTCCCACTCCAGTCGAAAGAGTCGCGTCAAGAAGAAGACCACTCCACCGCCAGCGGCGACAGTGGGGGGCTATTGTCTGAGCACCACCACGACTACAACCACATCCACTTTGACGGCGGTTAAACTGCTCCAGCAGCAGCAGCAGCCGCAGGCCAAAGCCACGCCACCCATGATCAGCTATCCCCTGCCGGCAAGAGTGCTCAATCTAAACCAATCCGGGACTGCTGCCGCTCCTGCTGCTGTGCAACCGCAAGTGGTGGAGCCACCACCACCACCCCTGAAACGCTACTACGGCCGGAAAAGAGCCAACGACACCTCGTCCTCATCCTCGTCGGGAGCGGAAAACAGCGAAGCCAGCGACAACGAGGAGCCGCAACCGCCGCAGTTGGGAAAGCGAGCAGACGATTCCGATGATATGGAAGTGGAGACTGCGTAAGTTTGTGTGCTGCAGAGAGTGGTAAAGTAGAACAGCCAAAGACTAGGGCCCCTATGCTTCCATTCGTAATCTTTGACTAATTCTGGTATCTCTTGCAGGTCCGAGCGTTCCCATGCCCTCCAGCCGACCATGTCGTCATCGAGCAGCACGGGTAATCAAACAGGCAAATATAGTTCTGCTACCGAAACCAAAGTCAGTAAGCAAAGCCAAATGTCTCATGCCCCACCCAACTGGAGTACACCACAAAATTCACGTCTCAGCCTCCCGCAATCCGCCATCCAAACCAATGAGCAACATTCGGACCCAAGCAGGCAGCACCGTGTTCTCGTTCCAACCCCGACTAGTGACCATCCCTGCATGTCCCCTTGTTGATGCATTGTTTTGTGTCCCCTCTTAATGCCACTGCAGCAATCGTTGCAATGCAATGTTGATAGCGATGCCATCAAGGATGCATTTACCACCCTATTATGTTTACAAAGACGATGCGATGTCCTGTTTGTCAGCTTTTTCTTTAATCTGTTGCTATGCAATGGAGTTCCGTAAACAGAATTATGTCTAGTTCCCATAGAATCCAAGGTCTTCAACAATTGTTATCAAATTTCCAGTTGTATGGCTCGTTCCATCTTTTGCTCATCTTAAGTATTCTCAGATAACTGTACTAGCCGTATCATATAATAGTTCTGTAAAAGCTTTTATAGTACTCATTAACGCAAAAACCTTGGTAGCATCCATAAAAATGATTTGTCTGCAAGGGTATTGAAAGCTTCGGTTCTCGAAGCTAGCTTTTCCCCATTGTTAGTAAGCAGAAGTCCTTATCTGACAGCTGAACATGGACACACTGACGAATCCCCACTGCCCACCACACTTTCGACTGCCCGCCCCTGCTCCCTTAAAAACCTCAATATCATCCTGACACTTGCTAAATTAGTGTAAGCTTTTACAGGGCTCTGGACATCCGAGTTCTGGTGGCGGACGACCCAATCTGCGCGAACGGCTTAAGCGCAAGATGCAGAACCTATTGAACAGGCAATGTAAGCCAACCGGAGTGTAGTGTGATGTTCACCAAGCGCCTTCTGAAACCCCTTAAAGTTGATTACTAAAACCGGATTATCTTG